ACCTCCGTCCGATGCGTTTCACATTGTACGAAAATTCCATGTACCTAAATTTATGGTCACTCTGGTTATTAGAATGGACATGTGCCTCGTGACTTCCGAAGGAACTCAGCTCTCATCATGAGAATCCATAACTCTTCTAAATGAAGACCTACTAACTCCCAGGGCAGAGCCTAACTGGTTTGAATTATTTGCTCTGGTTAGCGTATTTTTAGCAAGTTAGTTTTCTAAGAGATAAAGTGAATTACCCCATGTTCGACCCTCTTCCTTTATCAGAGCTTGGGACCGGCGGCAGCCTCAGATGGGCTCCAGATGAAGTTATCCTATACCAATCAAATATATTGAATCGATAGATTTCTATGCTGTTCTCTATTTTCAAAACCAAACTCTAATACATAACTTTATGTATGTATCTCCTCTCTCTTATCTATTTAGACAGAAATAGGTCGTCTGTTTTAGAAACTGTCGCTAGAAATGCCCCAATGGTCGTTCCATTGACAGTTGCTCTTAAAAATCCTGTACTTTGGAAAAAATGTAGGTAGAAACATCCAGAAAAACATAGAAAATCATAGTTGATTGTGATGATTGGACTTATGTAGTTTGATGCAAGTTTTCCAAGCAAAATTCACTGAAAGTAGTATATAAGTAGTATTTTTAGTTGCAGTTTTCATTGTAGTAAATTTTTTTTAATAGTGTTGTTATTTTAAATTACCGCATAGTTTTGTGTTTTCAACTCTTGTGATTATGTATATATTGTGAGTGGCGATTGTCACTTATTAAATAAAAAATATTTTAGTTTTTGAAATCGCAGAGCTACATTTTTCGAGTATTTTCTCATCAATATTAAAGGATCCAGGAACAATACATAAACACAAACTTCATAAACAACGTATCAATTCAATGAGGGAATTTTATTACTTACTTACTTACTTACTTACTTACTTACTTACTTACTTACTTACTTACTTATGCACTTACTTATGCACTTACTTACTTACTTACTTACTTACTTACTTACTTACTTACTTACTTACTTACTTACTTACTTACTTACTTACTTACTTACTTACTTATGCACTTACTTACTTACTTACTTACTTACTTACTTACTTACTTACTTACTTACTTACTTACTTACTTACTTACTTACTTACTTACTTACTTACTTATGCACTTACTTACTTACTTACTTACTTACTTACTTACTTACTTACTTACTTACTTACTTACTTACTTACTTACTTACTTACTTACTTACTTACTTACTTACTTACTTACTTACTTACTTACTTACTTACTTACTTACTTACTTACTTACTTACTTACTTACTTATGCACTTACTTACTTACTTACTTACTTACTTACTTACTTACGCATGTTACCCCTTATCGAGCAAAGGCAACGATCAGCATTCTACAACCTACTCTGTCCTCCATTCTCTTTTCCAATTCTACCCGATGGCTATTCATTTTTTTATGTCTGATTCCGATTCTGAGCACAGTGTGTTCCTGGATCTAACTCTTGTCCTTTGGCTGTGAGGATTACAAATGAAGACTTGCTCCGTGATGCAGTTGAGTGATTTCTACACTGTGTGTTCTATACACCCCATAGAACTTTGTGATTATCATTTAAAGTCTATTTATCAACGTTTGACCTACTACTGTTTTCAATATTGAACTAATGACAAAAATGTTTGTTATTGTGTATTATTATTCTCGTCACTACTAAAAGTACACCTGTCCTCTCTATACGAACAACTTGTACTTTTACCTTTTATATGTGTGTGGTTATGCATTCTATTTCATTGTGATTATCGACTCATCATAAATTGCCTTGATTGGTGAATATTAAAGTACAACCTGATGTCAACCCAATTGAAAACAACAATACTGTTCTGAGATGGTGGAGAAGATTTGGAGCTCAGGTGGATGATTGTGGTGGTGGTGGTGTTTGGTTCTCTGAGCTGGATGTTTGGGTTGTGAAGCTTTCATTGTTCTTCGCCTGAACAACATCATCAGCACAAACCTCAGATAGAAGTGAAGCGTTCGAATTTCCCCACATTTGACCTGTAGCTTGTTCTGCTAACCTCCACAACCAAATCATCTAGCTCAGAGAACCAAACACCACCACCACCACCACAATAATACTGTTCTGTAATATGTGTGGTTTAGATTTAAATCTATTTCGACTCTCGGCTGATGTCAGTGATAAGTAGTACGTCGTGGTGGCAATGATAACTCAAAATGTTGAAATATTTTGTACAATAAAGTATTGACAAGTTCGATATAATTCATTGAAAATTGTTAAAAAAAGGATGGTAATTTATAAATAACTTCGGATTAAAAAGAGACAGATACAAAGCCTTTTGTTAATGAAACTGGATTATTTTACAGTTGTAAACCAAAATATACTGAGTGTAGTGAAGGAGAACATAGGTGAGGGCAACCGAATTGTATTTAACGAAAATTACAGAGTTACTCAGTAAAATAGGAAAACCATATCGTAACCGTTAATTTGCAAATCTTCAATCAATCATCAATCCATTGTCTGACAGTTCACTATTCATGCGTTTCATACAAATTCCATTGTGTTCCCACTCTTCCTTTCTTGATCTTCCCTCATCTTCTGCTGCCAGACATTACGTTTACACTCGCGTCATATACTACTTATAAGTAGCGCGCACCACATGAGTAATTTAAATGAAAAATAATTTTATTCCTCGTAAAAAAGAAAACTATATTCTTGGGTGACCATCATGCCTGCTACACATGCACGTCGCTGCATTTTAAGCAGCACAAGGATTCTCACAAGAGACAATGTTGCGATCACCCTTGCCCCATGCGGGAAGGTACATGTTGTCTAGATTGGTCTGCAGACAATTGGACGTCCAAAAAGCACGCGCCCCCGTTTGGGCACTTATGAATCAACAAAATCCTTCCAACCAATCCACTACCCACAATCCCCATTCGGAAAGGGCGACAAGGTGGGCTTTCCAAGCTAGACCTTTCGCCCCGAACGGATTACCGAGCCACCCAGCAGTGCACTAACCGGCTGCCATTCCAACCGTCTGACCTCCAACTGCCTTGCGCTGATACAATCCACTGGAGCTCTCAGACCTAACATGAAGCTAGAGATCGAGTTTGTCCCACAAGATCAGCCGGAACGTACACCCTTCTATGGAGAAGATGTCATGGACTCAACCAAGTGCAAGCACTCGGCCAAGCAGGATTAATCCCACATAAGTGGGCAGACATCATTGGCGTCCAGTATCCTTTAGCACTGGATCACATTAGCATGTTGCCTGGCAGGACCACAAATAGGTAGCCGCCACCCCCAGAAGGCTTCATTTATGCTCGTCACCTAATATACCCCATCAATTAGATGACGAGGCATTTGGTTACCTTAAGAGAGTCATAGTTACTCTCGCTTCGCGGCTCTCTGAACTAAGATCATGAGTAGTAAAGCAACACTACTTACTTACTTACTTACTTACTTACTTTACTTTATTTACGGCTGTTCCCCCTAATGGAGCATCCGTCTCCGACAAGCATTCTCCAGACAACACACTGTTCTGGACCTCCCTTTCTAGTTCTACCCTGTCACTGTTACTTCTCTTGATAAACACCACGTGGAGCCCCTCTGAAATACTGCTGGTTCCAAGCGTCGATAAAGGAAGAAGGTTAGGCATTGGGTTAATAACCCCATCCCGCACAAAAAACCAGTGCTAACCAGAAAAAAGCAATAATTCAGCCAAGAGAATATTACTTTATGTTGATTTTATTCAGATGAACTAATGACGGTTTTCAGCTTTCATCAGTTAATTTTCATAAATTACATAATTACATCAAAGTGAACTTTTATTGAGTTAATTCAATCCGGTCAAGTAAAGAAAATTGGTCAGGTTGCGCAATACCTTAAATTGACATTAGCACAGTTGGATACTGGCTCAGTGGTCTAGAAGTTATACGTTCGCGTGCGAAACCGAAGTTCCTGGGTCCGACTCCTCTGAGTTAGGTCGTGGATGTGCAAGGCTGATGAGTCCCATTCTCGGACAAAACGGCGGTCTTTCAATGCTTTCATGTTTCGAATGGTGATCTAACATTGATCGAGTCTTGATTTTCAGATAAAAACAGCAATCTGCACATATGTTCAATAAATATCCATTCTAATATGTCAGACAGTTTCCAAGATAACTTCAATCGCTATCTATCAAACTGGTTAGATAATGAGAAAATTTTGAGTTACAATCATATCTGAATCGATATGATTTCACGAAAGCCATTTAATGTTCAGAATTTTAAAGATTATAGGTTTCGTTTATGAATAAAAAACACCAAATAACTCATTTCAGTGAATAATATTTCCTTATTTTAAATGAATAATTTCGATATGGACACATTTTCTCCTACATTTTCATCTTCGAATTTAAAAACAGATTTAAAATAATCCTCATTAATGTTGAATAGATTTACGTAAATCTTTCATTGTATTAGTAAACACAAAACCCAATCGATTGAATAACGTTTGAAAGAAGCAGGTCGCCGACTGATCACTTTCACAGTAAAAAAATACTTCATCTTTTAGGATCTACACACACCACACGGTATGAATGATCGTTTCATTGACTCTTGTATAAATTTCCAGTTTCTCATACTTTAACACTGCCACCAATCGTTAGCAGTAGAAATAGAGAACGAACCTAATTTTTTGAGGTTACACCTTCGTCAATTTATTCTTTAGTTGTTATAAGACAACCATACCACCTGGTACATAGTTCCTCACGAAGTGAAAACTAGTATTACGTAAGATAAAGTCCAGTATAAATGACTGTTTCTTTTTGCCAAGATGAATTATGTTTGTGGTGAAATATGCATAACTTACTTAGAATATGTATTTTTACTTTTCCTAACCAATAAATCAAGATAGTTTTCTAATCACTGAATACAAATCTAAGCATTCATATATCGTATATGTAATCGTAGTCTTTTTGTAAACATTTCAGCATCAGAAGATCTCTCTAGTTCTGATAATGAAAATGGTAAGAAGAAAGTATCTACCATCACAAAAAATGGAAGGCCTAAACTACTTTCAATACAAGAATATGAAGCAGAATTGATTCGTATAACTGATGAACTGAAATCTGACGAGGATACAGACACGGAAGAATATTTCTCTGATGAAGAATATGATGACAAAGACAAGGATACCATTCAATCGTTTAGATTACCGGTAATCAGTAGTTGAATTTATTACATACAGTTTGATATTTTCAGTCAGAGTTTTTTTATGGAGATTTGTGTTTTTACACATTTGAAGTAATCAATCAATCATTGTTAGGCCACTATTAGAAACCTGGAAGTACTGAAAGACGGGACTTATCAGCAGTGTGCATCCACGACTCCTGCATCTCGCAGGATTCGAACCCGGGACTTCGGTATTGTGCATGAACGCCTAACCATTGGACCACTGAGCTTGTATCGAACGGTGTTAATGTCTAACTCTGATTGACCTAGGGATTTTGCACGACCTCACCCATTTGTCTTTGGTAGTTACTGTCTATACCCGACAGTTTGAAACTAAACGTTCCAGCTAATGAAACTACAGACATTTTTAAAGTGTCCTCCTAATCAACTGAGTTTAAAAATGGTATACAATGGTTCTTAGTTCGTTAACAAATTTTATGTCCTTAAATTTATCAATTATTTGTCTACGAATGTCACTTTTCTCAAAAACACCTGGTTAATTTTCGAAGACTAAGCTGTCAGGTATCAAACATTATGACATGTAGTAAGGTGATATTGAAAAAATAATATGCATATTACTTACTTACTTACTTGCTTTACGCCTGTTACCCCCAATGAAGAGCATAGGCCGCCCACCAGTTTTCGACAACCAACTCTGTCCTCGGCTTCCCTCTCCAGTTCTGTCCAATGTTTGTTCATCCCTCTCATATCTTTTTCTATTTCTCAGAGTAATGTGTTCCTTGGCCTTTCTCTTTTCTTTCGGCTTTGAGGATTCCATGTGGGGGCTTGTCTTGTGACGCAGTTAGGTGCTTTTCGTAGTGTGTGTCCTATCCACTTCCACCGCTTCTTCTTGATTTCCTCCTCCACTGGAATCTGGTTTGTTCTCTCCCACAGTACGTTGTTGCTGATGATGTCTGACCAACGAATCCGAATTATTTTACATACACAACTGTTCATAAACACTTGTATCTTGTGGATGATAGCTTTCGTAGTTCTCCATGTTTCCGCTCCATACAGTAGAACTGTTTTGACCTTTGTATTGAAAATCCTGATTTTGGTTTTGGTTGAAATTTGTTTGGAGTTCCAGATATTTTTCAACTTTAGAAATGCAGCCCTTGCTTTGTCGATCCGTGCCCTCACATCTGTATCAGATCCAACCTGGTTTTCGATGATGCATGTTAATTAATTAATTTGACTATCCAGATTATAAAATTAAGGAACTGTAATTAAGACTAATCAAAAAATGAATTCTAGTTGATTACTGCAAATCAATGCGTTTCATTATTTTTTATGGTTAACATTTTGGTTGGGATCAAATAAATAAACAACCAGAAACTCAAGAAACACTGGATAACTAGTCGAAAAGTATCACAAAAGTTGAATTCGGCCTTCTTCCAAGATGCTGGCAAACTCAGCGAGTTCAAGATAGCCAAAAGTAAAATGTTCTAAGCCTTTCACAATCTGTTCCATTGAGAGGAAACTACCATGGAGAACAACTGAAAAGGAATCAAGGAAGCAATAACTTCAACATGCCATGAGGCTTTTGGGCCACACGAAGCACCATCACAAGAAATGGAGCTCTGCCGATACTCCGGATAAGATTCGTGATAGGAGGAGCAAGAAGACAGCAATCAGTATCACCCGAATAAGAGCAGAGAAAGCCAAGGCACAAGCTGAATACTCAAAAGCAAACGAGCTAGTGATGAGGAGCATCAGAGCCGTCAAACGACGGCGGAAGAGGCTGCATGAGAAGGAAACGTGAGACAGTTGTACGATAAAACAAAGAAGCTGGCTGGAAACTAGAGTTAACCAGTGAAAAGCAAGGAATGTAAGGTAGTCAGCAACACTGAAGAACATTGAAACAGGTGGGTGGAGCTTTTTGAAGAACTCTTGAATCGACCAGCTTCACTGGACCCACCCGAAATCGAGGTAGTACTCACGGACCTCTCAAGTAATGATTACCTACCAACAATCCTCAGAAACATCACAGAATGCACCAACTAAATAACTGTTAAATCTGAAGCCTTAGGAGATCTGAAAACCCTAACATATTTGGGCAGTATCTTTGATAATTAAGGCGGATCTGATTCAGATGTAAATACATAGATTAACAAAAGCAAGGGCAGAATTTCTACATTTGATCAAAACCTGCAACTCAATGTGAACCATTGTCTTCCAACTTATAAGTACTAAAGTAACGTCATATACCCAAGACTCTGAAGAAGTAATGGGTGCACTGGTGAGGATTCACATTTTTAGACGAAATAGTAGTTAGCTTTTTACTTTCAGTACATGGTTCCCTTTACTATCTGGAATACAGCACTTCTGAGGAGTTCTATATTCAGACGGAAAAGGTGTCAAATTATTTTCTGTTTGCCTGAATAAGGTCAGTTCTTGAAGTTAACTATGAAGTATGTCCGTTGGGCATGGGGTTAGCGACTCTATTTCGTAGAAATCTAGCTCAGTGGTCAATGCTCTATTAGGGGTAATAGGCGTAAGTAAGTAAGTTAATTCGTTTAAAGAATGTAACTGTCCGTTTGCTGAACTAAAATACCTAGTTCTTTTTAAATTTTATAGAATTCAAGTCGATTGCAATTTTCCGTCTACTATAATGATTCAGAACAAGAAATGCATGTCAATGTTATTCGTGTGAACAATGTACCAGGTAGAGAAGCTGGTGGACCCCCAGCTTATCAAGTATGTCTAAATAGTTTTACAATAATTCATCTTATTAACAGCTGGTATTTGAAACTTCATTACAAACTTCAAATACAGCAATCACACAGTGGAAAAGACATCCATATTGTAAGCCATGATGGTTGCTTTGATGAAGGAATGAAGTTACAGTTTGTAGTGTGTACTGATATGTTGATCTTACATGGATTACCTTAGGGTTTTAGACAAATTAATGAATCCATTCTTCTTGAGTCATTCACACATGTTTTGAAGCTGCCAATTGTACGCTTATGATTTTGGATATTCCTACTGTTACGACCACACGTCAACATATCATTTGATATGTTTGAACTAGTACAAGTTTACCTTAGTCAGAAGATGAGAGAATGGATCGAGGATCCGGTGACACACGACAGGCTACTCTAATTTGATTGTCCCAAACCCCCACTGCGTAAAACAAGAAGACTTGATATGAAGTAGAACGTGTATTCTACAAGCATCCAGAAGTGCGAGGTCCGAGGTCGAATAGGAAACAACATTGAAGTATGAGAAATTGACAGTTAGGGCGACTAATAGGAACTGATCAATAGATCTAGACTTAAAAATAATTCTCTTAGGATATTTGATGAATATCCTAACACCTACATCACTTGTCTAGCCTATGATTGCATGACTACAAAATACTTAGTTATGCCTCATCGTACTCAGTTGGCTCGCTCGCCTTCTTCACTTCTCTTCTTCTCGCTTGTACGCCTTTCATTCTCATGTATGTCTGCTTAGTTGAATGCATGAAGTAAACTCATCCACGAATCCACATTCGGCTTTTTATTACCGCTGTCGCAGATATGGGGTTCTCCTAAGTATGATATACGAGAATTAAAATGGAGGATTTATTTCATAATATACTCAACCGTTCGTAAATGTTGGAGTCAGATCGTGGGCCACTAAGGTAGTGAAATGTAATTTGAATTTAACGCAGTCACAACAGTGATGATTCCACGACTAATTTTACTCAGTCACTAAAAGCTCAGAAGTCTTCAGGAGCATGCAACGTACTTTTGCTTTACATTTTCAACTACTTACTCATGAGTAGTGTAGTATTTTCAACTGTTTAAAATTATTTCAAAATTAGTCAGAACGGGAATATGTCATCAATATCTCATTAAGTTACAAATTTTGATTGTGATGTCATGATCAGTTGTTTGGTATGCATTCAAAAGTTGAACTTGTTTTAAACTAATATTAGTAGTCACACTGTTTTAAACAAATTTTTTCACATCATTTAGGTATAAACATGTTCATTTTTATAGTAAAATCTAGTGTAAAAATGCCACAATCTAGATGAAAATCTTTTAAGTTAGTTTGACGTGATGAAATGCTATTCACAGTTTGTATACTGTTGTGCAAGTTAGATCCCCAGAACTCACTTGATAACCTCATATTTTCTGGGTGCTTGTGGAATACACTTTTTACGCCATATCAAGACTTCTTCGTATACTTAGTGGGGCCTTTGGGACGCTCTGATTAGAGTAGCCTATCCTGTCAGTGCATCATTTGTCTTCATTCATCGACTAAGGTGAACTCTGTTGGGGAAGTTAGTTCCTCAGAACTCACTTGAAAATTTTATTGATTTTGGTTTTATTTCATGGAACGATCAGTTCGCCTTGAGATCACATTTCCCACCAGGAAAACCCATGGCTGTGATTAGTTAATGTGTAATTTTAGTGTGTTATTTTTGTGACTGTCCCAAGGACGTCTCTATAGAATATAAATAAACGCGATTTCGGTGCTTGGATTCATTTTGTGCTGGCTGGGTGTTTGTAGAATACAATTTCTACACTATATCAAGACTTCTCGTTTAAGCATACCTAGAGACAAGAGTGGAATACACTTTTTACGCCATTTCAAGACTTCTTCGTCTACTTAGTTGGGCCTTGGGACGATCGGATCAGAGTAGTCTATAGTGTCACCGGATCATTTGTCTTCGGTCTTGTTTACCGACTGAAGTGAACTTATAATAATTTCATGTATATTAATTGACGAGCATAACACAAACGCCCTAATTTACCTATCCATCCTAAATGCTTAATTACTTACCATTATAAATTATGATATATAAAACGTTTATATAGGGATTTTTGAATCTGAAGTGAATAGAATTATGCTAGTCACAATGTTAACTTTCACACTGAGATCATGGCATATTCAGATGACAAGTCCCAAGAAAAATGATACTCATTATTGTAAAACTAGTTCTGCTTAGAATACCAGTAAACTGCGAATCTTACTTCTTTCGTTAACACACCACTTTAATTAAACTTTACTCATAAATATTTATTTATTTTTCCCCATTTTCATATTTTTTTTTAAAAACTTCGAATCATTTAAAGATTAGTTTATCTATAGAACCAGATAATAAACAATGTTGGAAAAGTAAAATACGTACAGCACCAAATCCAGAATATTTAGAAGAATGGCGATTTAAAATTTCTCTTGGTATGTTCTATTTATTGTAATAATAATTATTCAATTCAATTCAGTGTTAATTAGTTTGGAAATCATAAACAGACGAATTCTAAATGTAAACTGCTTAATTCTCATTGTATGGAAGACAAGCGTACATCTTAGATATTTCTTCACGAAACTAGTCAAAAGTGGGCACATTTTATGATTTTTCATCATAAGGGTTATGAAGATTGTTTTGTATTACTCAAAGATGAATCAATCAACATTATTAGGAAGCGGGAAACACTGAATAGCCGTCTCGTCCGGTGGAATTCAACGCCGTTGGGTGTAGGTAGTGACTACCGAAGATATTGATCAACGTTAGACATGAGTGTCGACGGATGCCGGCTCAGTGATCTTGAGGTTAAGCGTTAGCTTGCGAAACCTAAGGTGCCTGGTTGAATTCCAGTAAATGAGGGTCGTGGATGTGCAGTGCTTATCAGTCTCATACGTGGACGAAACGGCCGTCTGTCAGTGCTTCCATGTTTATAACGGCGGTCTAAAAACCATTGATTCAAGAATGAGTATATTATAAGTGAAAAATCCGAAGTCCTCGAAACCCAGGATTATTGGTTAGTAAGAAATGATTTGTTCACTCCATTTATTCCCATTCAATCCTTCAGTCTACGTCTGTAATATCTACTACACTAGCTAAATAGAGATTGATATATGATTGACTCTATGTTGCTCAAGTCATTCAGTACAGAAGTATTAAATCTACTGGGACTGTAAATAAATACTTTTCTATCATGAGATTACTAACAAGTTGTAAATTGTCGTCAGTTCATATCAATTTGTCTTGAAATAAAACAACAAACCGATAAATCTGATTAGTTAAGTCGATTAAAATAATTTTGGTTTAAAACTTTATGTAAGCTAATCAGCGTTAACACTTTGAATTATCCTACTTTTATGGTGAATTGTCTCCAGAAAATGTTGGATTCATTAAACTGACAATGCCAGTGGAAAATCTGTTCTTATTCACTTATCTTATGATCCGCAAATATTTTTTGATAAACGAAGAATCTCTTCAACAGCTAAACAGTTTGAATTCAGTTATCAAATATTTAACTTACACACTTTTTGAAACCATGAATCGATCAATGTTAGACCACCATTAGAAACCTGGAAGCACTGAAAGACGGCCGTTTCATCATGGTATGGGACTCCTCAGCAGTGCGCATGCACGACTCCTGCACCCCTCAGGATTCGAACCCGGACCTTTGGCATTGTGCGCGGACGCCTAACCATCGCACCACTAGGCCGGTATCTAACGGTGTTAATGTCTAACTTGATCAAATTCACGGAGTTGCGCAACCTCATACACAGACTTCGGTAGACACTGCCTACATCCGAACAGGTTGAACTTCACTAGTCACGTCTTCCCACTAGAACTCGGAGAAGATTCCTCACGAAGCTAATCACTATTGAGCACAGGTAATTTGCATTACGGGGTTGTGAAGATTGTTAAGTTACACATTTTTGAAACCATTAATCGATCGATCTTAGACGTTAGGCGTTCGCCTACAATACCGAGGATCCTGGGTTTGAATCCTGAGGGTTGCAGGGGTCGTGGATACGCACTGCTACGGTTGAGTCCCATACCAGGACGAAACGGCCGTCCAGTGCTTCCAGGTTTCTAATGGTGGTCTAACATTGATCGATTCATGGTTTCAAAAATGTGTAACCTAACAATCTTCACAACCCCGTAATGCAAGTATTTAACTGTCGAATTCATTGATCAAGTGGTTGACAGCAAGTTCTTACAATTTAATCGAAATACTGTAGGAAAAAATATTTTGTCTTACATCTGATATATTTTTATGGTTTTTGTAACTCATAGGAAGTTCGCATCAAAGTAAACTTTATTTATTGTTCAAACGCACTTAAAATTATTATTTATTGCGTTGAGTAATACTGTGGTGTGTGCTACTTATACGAACGATATAAGTAGTATAAGAATGGACGTGAAAGATGTCTTACGGTCAGAAGAGGAAAACGGAAAGCAAATAGAGCAAAAGCAAGAAAGATTTAGAGCACCGACAGGAAGTAAAGGAAGCAACAGCAGGAATGGAGGAAGGCTGGAGCGTTGGAAGTCAGGACTCAAAGATGGTGTTCAAATGGGGTGTTCAATGTAATGTTATCGGTTTTAATTGACTAAGAGTGTAAATTTGCCAAATATAATCTATTGAGCCTGCCTCAGTCTTCTCAATTGGTGTCGCTGCCTCCACACAGGATGAAGATACCATGGCCTCGGGAGTTTGAAAACGGAGATGTAAGGAGCTTCTTGAAGGAGTTCGAGGCTGTGGCGGAGCTGGTCGGAGTCAAGGAACGGAAGGCGAAGGCGGTGGTGCTGGGGACTCTACTAAGAGGCAGGGCGAGAGCGGTGTACGATAGTGTGGAGGACGCTGACTGGAAGGCGGTGACGGAAAGGCTGCTGTTGGAGTTCGACAGCCCGGCGGATAGGCAGGACGCGCTGCAGAAGTTCCGAGAGGCGCGGCTGTCGGTGGACGGCGACCCACTCGTGCTGGCCGTGGAGTTGACAAGATTGCTGCGCCGGGGTCTGCCGAATTCGGATGAGGAGTCGCAGGCACAGCTGCTAGCCTCGCAATTCATTGAAAGTGTGCCTGCAGAGATTGGCCAACAGTTGAGACTGGTGAACGCGGCACAACCAATGGACGTCACCGAGCTGGCGAAAGTAACAAGACAACTGATAAACTCAACAGTCGCCTCGGTGGCGTGTGAGAGACAGGCTGATGATGTCGTGAAGAAGATAGAAGAATTACAACGAGAGGTGGCAGCGTTACGAATAAAGGGTGAAAGAAATAATAAGTGCTACATTTGCGGAGGAACCGGACATTGGAAGAGGAATTGCCCAACAAGACGAAGACGTAAATATTTTAGACCATACACAAGTTGTTCTTTATGTCTTTCGAAACTGGGGGTCTCGGCATTAGTAGATAAGGGGGCGGTCTATGCGAGAGTAGGGATAAACGAGCGAGAGGTAGTTTGCCTGATTGATACAGGGGCGGCAGTTTCGTTAATAGACAAAGAGCGGTGTAGAGGTATCAGGCCGAGTGCACTAGTTGTTAACACCATCGGCGGCCACGTGTTAAAAATCCTCGGAGTTTCAAATGATATCGTGAAAATCGGCAGTTCGAAAATACAGTTTCCCTTTGTAGTGACTACGAACTTGTCGAGACCAATACTAGGAGCAGATTTCTTGAGAGAAGTAGGAGCAATTATTGATACAAGAAGTAAGAAGGTGATTACAAAGTACGGCACACTGACAATACATGAAAGCAGCGAGGTGGCTGAGGTTAGAGTAGCAAAAGAGGACATTGGAAAGAAACAGAACATTAATGAGGTGCTCACAAAATATAAGAAGTTGTTCACGGGAGACGGAGAGCCGTACGGGTTTTGTAATAAAGTCAAACATGAAATTCCGATAAAGAACGAAGAAGTAACCATCTTCACAACACGACGGGTCCCCGAACATTTGGAAGCTGAGATAAACCAGCAGGTACAGGAGATGTTAAAAGCAGGTATAATTGAGAAGACTGAGGCAGGCTCAATAGATTATATTTGGCAAATTTACACTCTTAGTCAATTAAAACCGATAACATTACATTGAACACCCCATTTGAACACCATCTTTGAGTCCTGACTTCCAACGCTCCAGCCTTCCTCCATTCCTGCTGTTGCTTCCTTTACTTCCTGTCGGCGCTCTAAATCTTTCTTGCTTTTGCTCTATTTGCTTTCCGTTTTCCTCTTCTGACCGTAAGACATCTTTCACGTCCATTCTTATACTACTTATATCGTTCGTATAAGTAGCACACACCACAATACATACGTTTGTTCTCAGTTTTATAGTTCACAGCAATTTCTAACTAAATGAGAGTAATTTTATCCTAGCGGCTTGATGAACAGTGTCACTGCTCTTGGAAAATCTATTTACGACCCATTTTCCAGACAAAGTTTTCCTTCTAACCTCCCTACAGAAAATGATTCTAAATTATTTAATATATACAGGTTTTACACATTTGAAATCAACAGTCAGTCATTGTTAGACCAACATTAGAAACCTGGAAGCACTAAAACACGGCCGTTTCGTCCTAGTATGGGACTCATCAGGAGTGCGCATCCACGACTCCTGCTCCTCGCACGATTCGAACCCGGGGACCTTTGGCATTGTAGGCGAACGCCTTACCATCGGACCACTGGGTTGGCATCCAACGGCGTTAATTTCTAACTCTGATTGATCTAGGGTTTCTAATGGTGGTCTAACAATGGATGATTGATGATTTCAAATGTGTAAAAACGCAAACCTCCAAAACTGTGCCCCAAAATATACAGGTTTATTGACTCTACATTTCTATCCACTGAACCTGAATGTTAATCCTTGTGTTATCTTTAAAGTGAAAGTTTAGCAGTGGTAATTCTGTGTACATTTTCTCCTAATTCTAAATTTATTTGATAAATTTTTCAAATTATTTTTCCCATTTATTTATTCTTTAAAAATTGTCAAGTTACCATACACACATCTACGCTCATTTGTCGTATAATTGGATTTTTTGAAAGTGAAGAAGAATATCTATGTGGAGAAGCTACTGTGTCGTTAGGAAATTTAAATTTAAATATTGAAAATGTTCTAACAGTAAATTTTCAACCAATACACATCTTACCAGTTTCGCGTAATTTGCAATTAACAAAAGTAAGTATATCTGTTGACGTTTTTTTTAAGATATAGACAAACTACTTTTTTATTTTTCAGTAGTAAGATTTTAATAGAACAATAATAACTATCAACCGAAGTGACGCTATTCAGTTAATTTTTTAAATGTTGATTAGTTTCAGATACAAAAGTAGTCAAACGTCGAGTTTCATTCAGTTCCCTAAATTCATTTAAACTATCATGAGTATATTGGAGCAATGTTGATGTTGTATTTCCGTAGATTGAACTCGGTTTATAAATACGTATAAAAAGTTCTGCGAAAACTTAGTACAAAACTGTCCGTAAATAGTGTATCAAAAATATATAATATAAAAAAATATGTGGTTGTTTAGGAAGCAATATGAAGCGAAAATCTATAGACTAAAAAAAATTAAAGATAATTGTCTACTTGGTAAATGAAGAAAAGTCGTAGAAAATAGGATACACTAACAATTTGTAAAACTCCAAAGAGGGCCGCTAGGACCATATCAGAGTAAAGGATTAAACTTGACTCTTCTGTAAAATGAGAGAGAGTCTGAAATGATGCATAGCAGTGGCCTAAACTATGCACAAATTCCTTATTCAAACCATTTTTCGACTTGGTTCATTTTACACTTTATACAGGATTTTGAATGACGTTTCACATGGTAGGTTGTGACCTTAGTTAACTATACATTCAAGGATTGAGTTGCCGATTGATTTGCGTTTTCCTTTAGATAGCCTTGCAGAATAACAGAGGGATAGTTGTTTAAAAAATGCACGCTGTATATGGTCAATGCAAATTGCTCAACGACACAAAGTAAGCTTATAAATACATATTGAGATGCTTCAAAGAGAGAGTCTATCTAAGACACTCTCCTGAATGAATTTTGTTGCTGTAGGCAAACAGATCATGAATGCCCAGTTTTATTCAATTAAAAAGTCATCATATTTCAAAATCTGGTCGTTTTAGTTATTGTTGTAAGATGCAAATTTTCACAATGAAAATTTATTCAAGAGTTTATGATTAATTGTAACTAGAAACGAAGTCCAAATTACTGCTGCGCAATAGGAGGTTGTCCGGATGTACGGCAACAAAGATACAATGAAATTTCAAAGTGTCTTGAGTGTGTTAGTATGCTAGGAGAGAATATTGGTAGGCGTTCAATAATGTCGTGGGTCGCGGTTAAGGATCTCTACATATGCACGCCTGTTTGGAAGAAGTGTCCTAATTATCATGAACTGGTTTTAGCGTATGTGTTTTTCTACGGAATCGAGGGCAAATAGTTGTAGCTGCTTAGTTTGTGATAGCTATATGGAGACTTGTAACGTGTTTCATTTCCCAACAAGACTTATTTACCATCCTGTGATCAAATAGAGATCTTATTGGTGTACTTTTTACTCCTCTCCATGATGATATTTTCTAGACTGATTTTCGATTACAACTTTCTACTCGGGATATCCCTTTTTGCAGAGACTTTCTTGATAACAGTTTTATTCCGAGACGTCGGTACACAAGAAGCGTGTTATACGCCTTATCCTGTGCGTGTCCACTGTACATTTTGTCTTATTGCTTTTTCAGTTTACCTTTAATTGTAACGTGTTAAAAACTCCTTGTGACTTATGGTTTTTCCAAGCGTATTTCAGGTTGCCTCGGAAACGTATTATCTCCACTATTTATTGATGTAGGACTTTTGCATTGATTTCCACATTCCTAGATATCACAAGTTATGTCTTTTGTAGCCTCGGGCGGGTATTTGTGTCTTCTGTTAACCACCTTGTCTAGAATTTACTTTTTTGGTTATTCGGGGAGCTTTGCATTGTATTGTATTTATACCTTGAACGACCATACATCAGCAACTATGCTTGCCAGATACGAAATGGAAGCTTAGATTTTTCCCACCCAGCGTTTGACATCCCGGAAGCCTTGTTTCTGGGGTTGCTCAAATCACCTCTATCTATGAGGTACTTGGTTTGCTTTTGACCTTAAACGCCCTGTTGTTGTTTTGCATCTTATTGGTTTTTTGTGTGTATCTTCGTCCTCTTTTGGGGGGGGGGGGGGCTCTGTATTCTTAGATTATCCTTATCCTCCAAACCTCTCTTGATTTATTTTACGAGCGTTGTTTTTTATAACAACTTTTGTCCCATCCATGTCCACATGGATGGTTTTATTTTTTATTTTATGCACCTATTTGACCACTGAGTGCCCCATACCTCTACCAAATTTACGTACTAGTTGTTTCTTTGCTTCCTCATACACTCTATCACATTTATTTCCCACCTTGTTCCCCAAGCGGAAATGTGTTCTCCCATATTCTCGGTAAGTGATTCTTTAACGACACTATATAGCGACCGGTTTCGTGTCTTTGCTGTCTCAATTTGGTGTTCAAAAAGTAACACGCAATCTGAAGGGCTGTCCACTTTGCTTCCTCCTGGTAGTTGTTTATTATTCACCCTCACTCGAACAATGTTCTCATTTTTTGTCGACTTTGGCTATATTTGTCGAGGTTGCCCATTCAATGGTCTTTTGTACATTTTGCGCTCTCGAACTACACTATGCTTTAATTGAAGTATGTATTCACTAGCAATTATTGTTTGGTGTAGCCACACCTATAGTTAGCCACATAATTTTACGTTCAGGGGTACTACTTCACAACGTGCATGGTTAATTTACACCAGACCTTTATCGTCTTTCTTATTGCATTGTAATTGTTAGTACATTTCACACTTTTTCTTTTTTCTTCTGGTACATTTTTGTATTTTCCCCTTCTTTTGTTTGTTCATGCTTTATTCTTCGGGTTCACACTGCGCTGGTGGTTTTTTGGTTATGAAGACTGTAGCGGACTGGATTAGCCCCTTGTTCATGTTGTCGCCCTTTGGAAGAGTAGTCAACAAGTGAGTGTTTTTTGTATTCCTCGTTATTTTTCATTGCGAGTAGTTTTGAAATCACCCTAATCTTCTCCTAGATCCTTGTTTGTCTTTTATCTTCGCTTCGTTTCACCCTCTTTCATCCATTACATTTTTGCTTACAGGACTTTCATCTTTAGTCTTTGTGTTTTTGATTCTTGATTCCACGTTTAAGTTTCCTCACACACTCGACATATTTCTTTGTGAACAACTAATACTGTTTCTGTTTTAATTTCCTTAGCATTCCCACTAAAATACACTTGCTTTTCCCAACTATAGTTTTATCCTATATTTAGTTCATCTGGTTTGCTTATTAAGCTTTACTCTCAGACTTGTGAATCCACATGTTTTTTATTTCTTCACTTTTTTTCGTCTTCTGTTGATATTTTTATTACTTTTAGACTATTCGGAAATCTGACATCTTTTGATTTCATCCTTGAATATTAAATGGCGATTGTTCGTACCATCTCTCTTCACGTTTGTTTATTACTTCTACATACTTGTTATCCTGTTGTATCATGTTTGACTTTTCTCTTCCCAATTTTTGGTCACTTTGGCTTCACTTGTACACTAATCTGAACTCTTTCTACTATTCCTGCAGTTGCTTCTTATCTTTCTCTTATATTTCACTAAGAACGGTACCCTCCCCTATCTTACGAAATACGTGCTAATCCTAGCTGCCAACCTTACGCTTCATGAACACACTTTCTTTTTCACATCGCCATCCTTACACCTCTCATTCAATGTCTCTGTATGTCTCCGCTGTAACATTACGCACATTAGTTCATATAAACGTCTCTGTAAGACTCTCTAACAGTTTTAATTCAATTCCTACAAAAAAATGAGTTTTCGAGTCAAGATGTACCTATTTTGTATGCACAAATAGAAATGATTTGTTACTGTCTTGCACACAGTTTTTTCGTCCTATCTTAGATGACAAGCGGCGTGGTGCATGCAACTTTCACTGGACGTGAATATTCTATCATTAAATACGAGGCCATTAAACACCATGAGGAGCACAATAAACAAAACGTCACTACAATACATTATGCTTATATTAGTAAGATACATATAAATTAGATATTTGGTCGAAACGTAGGATGTTTAGTTTGACTTGCAGGGTCATGGCATTGACTTTGTGAGAAACTGTCGTTTCCATACACACATTCATCTTCTCGAGAAGGTTGAAGGTAATCGTTAAATGAATAACGCGTTAATTAATTAACGAATCGTCGTATCCGAGCAGCCCAAATCCTTCCGATATTGTATGGTACATGGACTAACAGAAACCACTACGATCCGAGGCGAGCAGACAAACGCAGTAAAACTAGTTGAAGGGAAGGAACTGAATCAGTCCTACAAACATTACGTTTTCATACAGCGTTTGGCAGTAAGGTCACGGTGTTAGAAAATATCTAGGGAAGATAGCTGCTGTGTGGATAAGAGCAATTCGAACGCTCGACAGAAAAAATAAAAAATGTAAACGTTGATAGTT